GGCTTAAATCATTGTGGGGAAAATCCAACTTATATATTTCTCATTATAAGCGTGCTAAATAACGAAACGTTTCGAATTACCCCTGATGCAAAATCAACATCTAAACTGTTTGTGGTTCATGGTGGGCATATGGGAACCGAAGGTGTTCGAATATTTATGGTCTGCCTTCCGTGCAGATTATCTCCACTAGTTGAACTACATCTGTCAGTGGAAGAGCTCTCTGAGCTCCTTGATTCGGCGTGGAAACTGCACAACTCAAACTTACAGGGCTTACGAATAATCTCAAGCGGATCTAACACATTTAATTCCGGAAAGCAGACTTGTAGCGCAATTCAACGAGGTGTCCGAGCATTTACAGGGTACAACATATGTATCCAGCTAGCACTCGGAGACAAATTTAGCTTCACCGATATTAAGATACTCGGAGTACGGAATTTCATTCCTTCTCATCCGTACGATTCCATGTTTCAAATCCAATACAATACTGTCGTGAGAGGGTCTACAATTGAAGACTCATTTCTATATCCGGTTTCTGCAAGATTTTCCTGGCTGCCACATTGTGGAGAAAGATATCAATTTAGAATGGCAACTGTGTCTTATAGAAAATCTAACTTGGAAGGGTTGAAGGCCCTCGTCATGCCCCTGGACCAGTACACGTGGGCCGCATCGGGAATATCTTTCACACTCATGGCCATCATTGCAATATCTTTGTGGTTCGTTAAAAATGATAATGAATAATTCAAGCTATGTACATTATAATTGTGTCATGATTTAAGTATATAAAAAAGCCAAAAATTCGAAATCACACGGCTTCACCTGTTGAATGGCCCCTTCGAAAAACAGCTTTGAGGTGAATGTTATCCCAAACCATCAATTTTTTACCTCAGACCCCTAAAATCAGTTTTCTTAAGAAAATGAGTTCCTCTTATTTTTTATAAAGGTACGCTCACAACAACTTTTTGCATAGTTTAGAGTTACAAGGTTGCATATGGTATTGCGCTTTTGAAGTGAAATTACCGTGTTATAAGAATAAACAAGGCCTTATATTTATTTTCGAAATGAGTAGAAGCAAAGAACGTACATATACACATTGCTTGTTATCATACAATTGTTCAAATTCACAAGTTAGTTCATCAAGGTATATCTTGGAGTTTAGTTCTGAATTATGTTCGTATATTAAAATCATTGAGCAAATTATACCCTTTATTTGCAGTAAACAAAGTTTGTCAGACTTTTGTGGTATGTAAACACGAATATTCGAAGAAACTACATAAAAGCATATAATTATTTCATTTCTTCGGAATCTCACCTATGAGTTTCCTCGACATAGACCGATCGGACGAAATCAATGCAAACACATGACTCGATTAGACTACTGATAATTTTATTGACATACAAGAAGCCGATAATATTGTATGATCGTACCCATAATCAACACGGGCAGCAACGCTTTTGAATAATGAACTAATATCTAATATCTAATAAGCAAACATTCTGGGACAAAATTTGATCCGAACAATGATACGGAGATAATGAAGAACATCATTTTGTAACCTGTAGAGATCACAATGAACACTTCCAGTCTTGTGGCTCAAACTCAATTTTGACACGTGCAGAAAAAACAGCATGAATTAAGAATTTTAAAGCACTTGAATTCACAAGTCCTTAAAAGTTAATTTTTCCGGACATACGAACCTGTTTAATTATAAATATTTGTTGAAACTAATGCCCTACAATTAGGTAATTTCTGGATAGACATTTATCTGAGTTTTCTTCTCAACTTACGAAATCATCGTAAACAATGAAAACATATTATTGTGCTTATGGTTAACATATTGTTGACACACTTCGTTGTAATCAATGCACACGTGCAGAAAAGCTATTAAATATGGATCTCAAGCATTTAATTCATCAGCAAACATTCAGAAACTAAATTTGATCTAAATAATGACAAAATTTTCGTTTTAAGCATCACTGCTGCACACAATGAACCTCTTCATTCATCTAGCCGGCTAACAACAAGCACACAAATTTAAAATAAGTGCAAAAAGTGTATACAAAAGTTGCACAAAATTGACCCAAAATTGAGTTACATAGTAGGTGATAAGTACAACAATTGGACAAATTTTACACGTCGTTTTAAACAAATATTTCCAAATTGTTGTGCCACCAATATCGAGCATATTTTACAAACATTTTTGTAAGTGTTATGTCAGTGTTACCAATAATTTTTACTTCTAAATACTTTACAATACTTGCATTTACACAACCCGAAAAGCTTTCTCGCCCCCAGATCTAAAATGTACAGTATTGTTTTCCTCCCTATCCTTAAATCCCATCTGATCCCTTGTCGCCTCCATAACTGCGTCCCGTTCGAATTTGATGACAAATCTAAGCGTTTCACAAAATCTAGTCGAAACCTTAGAACCTCTCAGTTTCAATGCTTCATTTCAATCCTGTACAGCTTCGCCATGTTGGCATTCCTCCTGTTCGGCCAGATTACGAGGACAGATAAGTTTCAGGGTGCTGTTTTCTTTATGCTCAGTCTCCTCGCGAGTATCACACGATGGACCAATATTGTCGACAATGATACGATTCAGGTCATCAATACATTTCTGGAATTCGAGAAGACCGCCGTTCTTCTAGGTAATGTGTTTTTGAAATCACCATCATTTTTACAGTAAATATTAGTGAATACAAATTTTGAAAATATTGATCTAGACGATGGATACACTTTTGTAAATTCCCGCACTATGAAAGGCATGAAATATTTTATTCTCCTAATGGAATTTTCGCTCCCCTTGTTTTCAATTCTGCAAATCTTACTCCTGGTTTTCATCCCTTGCACGCCACCTTTCCTGATGTCAATGTCCTCCAGCTGCAGATCGTCAGTGACGCCCCTTCGTCTGTGCAATATCAGATTTGTCCTACATCTAGCGGACCTGTGGATCTTGTCAAATAACATATTTTCGGCAGCAATTCCAATATTGTTCGTGCTCTGTGGAGGCGCCGTGTCATTTTTGGCCTACTTCAATATTTTAAAAGGGTGGGAACTTATTTCTACTTTTTTTAAACCAGTTCATCCAAAACTTTTGTGAGCTATAGCGAAATCTGCCCCGTGCTAATTGTTATTATTTGCTTAAGCCTACATACTTATACACTCTTAAAAAATGGGCATTAACAAAATGAACGGGATATGTATCTGACTCTGCGGCATTTGTATTGAACTGCTACAACTACCCTGATGTAGATCCCGTGATTTGGCTATACTTTATATGTGTATCCCAACCATCACATCTTCCGAACCATTTGAGACAAAATAGTTATGTCCCAAATGGACCTGTCTGTGTAATAATCCTAAGTTGCAAGAAACGAAAGTCCTGGCGCTGGTGTGCAAACCTACCAAGCTTATTATTTAGTTTGGTGAGGGATAACTCCGGGCGATCATAAATGTGGCTGCTTTCGCTCGTTCAGTCCCGCTCCTAGGTACACTAGTATTAGTCTAATTCTGTGGTGTATTTAGTGATGGCATTTAATTTATATATTTATGGTGCAAATTTTAAAAGAAGAAGCTAATTCTTGAAAACTTGCCACCCATCGGGAACAGCTGACCCTAAAATTAAGATCAATTTCTCACCTTGCAGGTCAGCCTCAATTAATCATGAATTGTAGCTCACATCATCGCGCCCCGAGGTCACTGAGGTTGAGCGACTATGGTTGATCAATTGTCAAGAATTAGTTTCTTGTTTTATAATTTTCACCATGGTTGTCAAGGCGGATTTGTAGTTCCAGTTAATTACATACCCATAGGAGTAATGCCTCATACCGCGTTTACTCATTTCGTAACTAAAAACTACGGCACTTTCTATGAAAATGCAATCCTTACCTATGATCACAATTAATTACAGAAAATGTTTTTTTTTTCATTTGGTCCCAGGAGAATTAAGGAAACTGAAATATCCCACAATCTCAGTGATTGCATTCATCTCTACAGATCAATTCAGCTCTTGGAAAAATCCTTCAACTCAATTCTAATGCATCGCGTTATTCCCCCGGTTATGATGTTGACAGCGGGAATTCAAATTGTGGGATTGTACGTTTACATCACGCATCATAAGGACATCCCAACTCATCCTGGATTGCTCATATTTCCTCTCGTTGGGATTGAAGGAATTATTTGTAATGTTCTTATCTTCACGGTGGCTTCATTCGTATACACGTCGTCACTCCACGTTTTGCGTAGCTTGCGGAAAAGGGCAGGCAACATGAGGGAGACTAAATCCTGGACGGCTTCAAAAGAGTTGAAATCCCTCACCTTTATGAGCGTCAAATTCGCCTCGAATTTTGTAGATGGGGGAACACCTCTCTCAATTCAGACATTTTGTATGAACCAAATCGCGTCACTGTGTCTGCTTCAAGTTGACCATCGGAATTTAAATTAAATCCAGCACTGCGTAATTTCAGAGCGATGCGTTCAAAAATCAATTACAAAATTTTTCCATGCACTTATGTATTGTTAGACATCTTTCAATTCATAGCACACGTTTCCATAGTTCACTAAACCAAAGTCTAGTTGAGGGTCGACCCGAGCCGCCAGCAAAACAACAAGCTTTAGCTCGGGGATTCGGGGTTCGGGTAAGGCCGGGTTTCTAAAATAGTGGCCCGGCTTCCCTTTCAATTTAACCAACATTATCAGGAAATTTAATAGAATATGGTAAATTAAACTACACACCAATTTCAACAAAATTCTATTCTACATCGTTTTGGATCAATAAATGTTGATTTGACACTATGTACACTCTTCGCAAACTGGTAATAAATAATTACCGTTTTGGATTTACATAAATGCTGCGAAAAAATGGGTATTTGACCACGTGAAAAAATTGCCTCAGCACATCCTCCGCACCGATGAATCTCAAATTAAGTTATATTAAAAATTACACTGACAAAATTGAAGATGCAGAACAGCCAAGAAATTAGACAAATTGACGATAGGGGTTCTGAAGTTTAGGTTGGAAGTTGTGGTATCAAGTGGGTTTTATTCGCGATCATAACAAAACTTGACTGGGGCATAAAACATAAAGTCCAATGCATGATTGAAATACATGGTAGAAAGACCACATACTAAGGTGTATTAAAAAAAATCCGCTTTGATTATACTTGTAGTTTCTAAGATCAACCATTTACTTTTCAGTGAAAAATGTTACCGAATTAAATCAACACCCTTTAGATTCAGGAATTACATAATTCAGTGTTAACCGTTTAATCCGGTAAGGCTTTGGAGGTGGGGAATATACGTACCTCTGCAATAGTTTAAGGGCATACTAAATACATAAAGTGGGTAGATGAATCCCAGCCCCATATATTCATCACTCAAATTGAAAGTGTGGGAATAATAAATATCTACTTTACTTCAAACAGGCGAGTGTATCGCTGGTGACTTTGGGGACCGTATATAAAGCTTGTGACGGATTTTGGGAGAATTTTTACCCTACCCTATGGTGGGACCTAAATGCCCCATGTTCACATACGAAAGATACCTTGACCCCGCATCAAATTAATGCTCAAACTCTTAGAAATCCGAGATATTAATATAATCCCACCCGGTATTCATATATTACTCTACCAAGTGGGTATAGATTTGTAAATAAATAATTCCGTTTATTATAGAATATTAAGTTAGCGCATAATTCCTTATTATATAATGAATTCGGTAGATAAACTGTTACCTATTCGGACTTTAGTAAACAGTACAAAATTTTGTTAACAGTTCCAAATTTTGTTGGTAATCCTTTAACTTGTTTATTTAACAATAAATAAGCACGCAAGTAGCTCATTGTTATAGTGAATTTCTAACTCAATGTATATTCGACTTCTTGCACATTCTTCAATTAGTGTTGAAGAAGTATATGTAAATTTAGCCAAAATGCTGCAAAATGAGTGAATATGTCCACCAACTATGTAAGTATACTTGACCTCGTGCTTCTACCGGGTACACTAAAATCTGAGGGAAAGCAATCTATTTTACATATATGTGAATGACTAAAACCTTGAATTATTTATACTTACTAGGATTCTCCTTCTTTTGTATATGTAGATAAATTACCACTATTCAAATTTATAGCGAGGCGAAAACTGACCCAATTCTCTGCCCGAATTGTACCCCTACAAAACAATTGTGCAGAATTACATACAAAACTAGGGTATGAGAGTTTACGATGCAAAACTCTTCTGCAAACACATTCCTAAATTTGACAAATCCTGCAGAAACGTGAACAGAATTTGTGCAAAAAGTAGGGTCATATTTATTTACATAATTAATCCTTACTTCAAAATTTTGGGGTTAATTCAGTTGTACCGCTTAACGCGTCACTTCACTACCCAATTCTCATAGAGTGGGCTTCCTCATTGTGCCACTTCCTTAAATTAAATTAAGTTCCATTACATATATATTTACACCTTATTTAACAATGACTACATAGTGTTTCTGACCAACTTTATCCACCCTTAAATTTTACTCCTCCTTTGAAACGATGGAGGCTAAAGCATCCTCCCAATTTTTTAGGGAGACGGAAATCTCTTCTCCATGAATTTTCTTCCCGCCAGTACCAGCACGACGTCGTTCTTTTTCATGTAATTCTAGCCCAATCCGATACGCGAGTTTGCACAGCGTTCCAATTTCCTGCTCCACGCTCGTTTCCCGATGCAACAAGGCGGCCGTCCGGTTCGCCATGACGTACAAGATTTCCTCCCCGGGTGGCTCATCCCAGGCCGAAGTGCAGGCCTCGATCAGTTTCCGCCTCTCCTTAATTGTGGGCAGGGTTGGGATTTGAAGTGGTTTTGATAAACCGGATGGTCCCCCCAGACTGGCAGGAACGGTCCAATTTTTAGCTGACGTGGCCAACACGAGGTATCGGCCGGGTGTTGCTTTCACCAGGTGAAGGATGAAGAGATCGACTATGTTTTGGGGGACGGAATCTGGAATTTAAATAATTTAAAAAACTGTAAGGCTTTTACATGAATTTATTAGAAATTGTGTTTGTGTTAGAAATTTGATTTTTGGAGTATTTTGAAACCCAACTGCATGAATGAATGTTTATGCAGAAAATAGTTTGCAAAAATCCTACAAAAGTAATGAAGGAAATCTTACAGAGAAAATTTATGGGGCTAATTTTCGAAATATGTACATATAGAAATATATACATATTTCTTCAAATTTCATTGTAATAATTTCCGAAAATTTTGTAAATTATTTTAGACCGCAAGAAGCCACTCACTTACTCCGCCTGCCCCGTGACAATGGATCACTTACCACAATCCAAAAAGACAATGACGGGCCTGTTCTTTTCCCCCAGTGTGAAAATGTCTCTCACATAAAAATCATCCCCTGGATAAAGGTCTTCCTTATAGCGGGGTTTCTCTGCGACAATGTATCTCGTTCCGTGCCCAGTTTGAATTTCAATTTCATTCCGAACCTCCCCTACGACGCGTCTAACTTTTCCAACATTCCCCCTAAAAGGGACAAATTTCGGCACCTTTTCCTCCAACTGGTCCGAAAGGGTGTAAAGGTCACTGTTTACGAATGGAGTGACGACGTAGTCTAGGAGAAACTGGGCCTGTTTTTGTAACCCTTCGGCCCGCAGGGTGTCAAAGGTGACGTTCCGATCTCCACCCGGGTCGGCCACTTCCCAAGAAGTGTGACACATTAAAATGCAAATTAGCACGAACAGAAAGAATGCCAAGATAAGACAGGACCGATCTGAGGAGGGTTTTTCCTCTACAGTGACAGGTTTTTCTCTCTTTTCGGTCATTTTGACTTGTATACAATTTTGATAAGTGTGAGATTGTGGAATTTGGGGTGAAAGTTTGCAAGGAGAAAGTGGACGTGTGTGTGAGCGCAGTGAGTGAGTGAGAGTGAAAGTGGAGTGAGCCTGATCCATATCAAATTTGGGGAGATGAACACTCTAAATAATCCGGTAATAGATGAACTTCTGATCAGGTCATGTATAGTGACTCGTCGGATATTATGTATGTGTGTATACTTATTACTACATTGTACTGCAAACTTTACCAAAATGGTAAACATTTTTACCACCTGAAAGTTACTTCGTCCAATCCGGTGACATTGGTATTACCAGGCAGTTATAAATATGTCAGTTAACATATATATATGATTTTATATATTTACACATAAATATTACAGATTGTTTCGAGTGGGCTAAATACTTAGAAAACTGGTAATTAATCGTTACCGAGCCAAGTGACTATACCGGTACGATAAAACTATCATTATGGAGTAGAAACAAAAAAAAATTTGTAGTAAGTACTCAACACCAGGCCAGTAACATCTGATTACCGCAGCGGAGTACGTAAATATACGACCCCACCAGATTTTTAAGAGTGCCGCATCTCCAACCAAACTTGTTTCCATTGTCGCCTTCCAATTTACAAAGTGGAACCTTTCCAAAGCAGGAGATCGTTTTATGACGGCCATTAAACAGAGACGAGAAGGGTCGCCCAACATAATTGAATCCTTGCCTCGTAAAGCTTCCAAGCTGTCTGATCTTCCATTATAATTTTATGAGAAAAACTATAAAATCCAAGATGTTATTGTGCATCGGAATCTACATAATGTGTATTCATGCAAGTCTAGTTTCTTCTTTAATGGCGACCCACTTTGTTTTTAATGGCAGTCTACTCATTTGCATGCGTCGTTTATGTACGGGATAAATACATATTAATAGCACAGTGTTTCTGACGGTTACCAATTATCGTTTTATGTAAATTAACATGTGAAGAAATTCTCAGCTTGAAAGTATATTTGACAATTGTGAGCAGAACTTCACTATCTAATTAGTAAAATGCTTACTTTTTTAATAAATATTATTCCTAATATAGTATTAATTAGTTCAATATATATTAGCTAATTAATATTCATACATATGCTAAATAAATAATTTCAAAACCCCTGAAAATTCCACCTTGACTTGAGTAAGCCCACCATGATCGGCTTGTACATGTGTAAGTTTTACTTGTCGCGTTGTGAACGTAAAAGTGGTCCTCATACGTGTAAAGACAACTTTGTAGGGATTGTAGTTTTATGATAAAATCAATCGACACGAATATGAAGTACATCTGCTCGACATGAGTACGGACATTGTTCTACATAAGTATTTTCAACCATAAATCACGATGTTATTATTTTAAAGCGTGGGTAAATACATATCTATCTGCATGCATACTTCCCCTTGTGATGTCAATATGGATCGTCCAAAATCTATGTGTGGATTTAGGAGCCTAAATTATCTTATGAAAATACGTGCCAAACTTGGGTTAAAATTTGCGTTATAATTTAACCTCCAAAATTAGCGTACACTCTTAAAAATGTGATAATGTACAGATGAACACACTTGTCGTCCATGCATTTCAAAAGCAACATCAAAACTGTAGCAAAGAGATTTTCATGAAACTCACAACCACGCCCCATATTCCAAACTTTGTTGATCATCAACCGTCCATCCTCTTTTTCATGAAAGCAAAAAATCCGGACCAATTTCGAGAACATAAGATAGCATGTCCAGACATGCGAATTTACCCATGTGGCTGAACTTTTAATCATTTTTTATAATAGTGTTTAATGTATTTGTTAATTTCGATTTTGGTTGAATTTCTTTAAATAATTCTTACCATGGAGGTCTCCCAACCTACGCTCACAGATTTGGAGGAAACTGGTGTCAATCGATGGTTAGGCGTCGTGGAGACGTGGAGGTAGTGTTTCGAAACCTGGCTTATCGCGGGGGCAGGGGGCTCAATTATTATTGAAATAAATACAAATAATTTTGCATAATCATATAAATAGTACGATTTATTTTTTAACAAATAAAAAATCAGTCTTGTTTTTATGGAGAGTGGACGGTGTCGTTTAGAAAGAGCCGAGTTGTAACCGAGTGGGGATTCTGGTGAGTAGTTTAGTAATTATAGAAACGAGCAATATACGTAACTGATTTTTTCTTGATTAGCTGACGTCACATTGATTTCTCCGGGAAAGTGAGCGAGCGGGGGTTGGCCTGCTTTACCCGCTTTCTCCCGTCGTGTTTGTTAATGCAATGCATGCAGTGCATGCAATGCATTTCACTGCATTTCAATGTAAATGCATATGCATGAAATGAATGAAATGCATGTAATTTATGTATTAATTATGTATGCAATGCATGTACAGTGCATATGCAAGTGAAAAATTTTGAAGAGAAATTCATTTCACGCCCCCTGGGGGGCGTGGCAGTAGATGGCAGCACCACCACGCACCACCCACTACCGACCACCACCCACTGGCGATGGGGGAGGGCGCAAAAAAGTGGAAAGGAGAGCAAAAAATTGGTGGCCGCCACCGAGGGTTGAACCTGGGTCGGTCGGTATCGAAGTCAAGCGCGATGTCGACTGTGCTACGCGCTGTGTTATTTAGAGTGATTGGTATAATGTCAGTTTTATGCACCACTTTTTTGCTTATGCAATGGACAAATTATTCAGCAAACCTAATTTTCCTGTACAAATCCAATTATAAGTACACTATAGTGTACATTTTGCTGGCGTATGGACTGTACGCGAGTAATTATGCGACATATTTTTTTGCATTTTTATGGGAAAAAAGGGGACGAAACCACATTTTTAGCTTAAATTTTGACGAAATAGCTGCGAGTTAACAAAAACTTGTTAAGTGACGCAAATCTGACTAAAATTTGTCTCGTTTGTATTAAAATATCAAACAAAATATGTTAAAAACGCTTTTAAAATTATAAAAATTTATAGAAATAAGAAATTACATGACTTAGCTATCCGAGTAATTATGTGATGTTTTTGAAAATTACATGAGCAATGCTGCAAATTATGAAAATCTTGTAAAGTTTTGCTGATTTGAGACAACATTTCTGTTTTTTAAACAAAATTCTATAATTTTTTTAAATATTCACGAATGATACCCAAATTTATGAAAAAACTGCGAAGTTATGTCTATTTGATACATGCCACAAACACATTAGGGTGCGTCCAACAATTATAGGACCAGGCGAATTTTTTCTGTTTCTCTGCTCATGTTATCTTGAATGAATTGATATTTGGCATGTTTCTGGAGATTATCACCCTACATTATTGCACCAAGTTTGGAATAAATCCACCATGAACTTCCGTCGATATATTGAAATGTGTTAAAATGGGGTGTCAAAAAATGATAGGACCACTTCACAATTTTATTTTATTTTTGGTCATAGTCCCGTTCTGAGTAAAAACTCTTTTGTACACCAATATAGGGAGAAGTTCAGGCCCAATGAAGGTTAATCTGCCTAGGTTCGATTAATGTATGGCCTTAGAAAAAATGAAAAAGGACTTACCAATTATACTTCAAAATCCTAGGCCTTTATTCGCCATAGTATTGAATTGGAAGAGACATTATGGAACCCGAATTGGTCAAGAGGTGGTTCCGAAAGTGACTATGGGACAAGACTGAAGGCAAATAGTTAACCTAACAAGCCATGCAAAATTGTGAATTACAAAACTCACAAGTAATTTTTGCCAAAAATTTGCGCATGATATGGTTCTCAATGCGTTGACGAAGTTTGCATATCCTGAATTATATAAAAACGTTGCTCAACCTACTCTTACTGATGTACATAAACGATCCAGACCCGATTTTACGAGAAATCGCATGTCCTGAGTAAAACGGAATGTGGAATAGCCCTACCCATTGATGCCAAAATTGGAACCTCGATAGCCCTGACTGATTCAAACATTATTGGTATGATTTGAGACACGAGCCTGAAATTTTTTAGAAAAGGCAGACTAGTGTGTGCAATTGAACCCATTAAATATATGCAGAATGTATAACAGCATAGAAATATACGATTATTATTTTTATTTTGTATCCATACTCTTTGGCTGCAGGTCAGTAACGAACTGCGTGGCCTTGGGACCAGTTTCCATGCCAAAATTATTACTCGCGTGGACACAGGGTACTACCAGGATATACTCCAAAACAATTTGTTCCTCAATGGAGCCAAGATCTGTTGGCAGGGTAGAATTCTCCAGCCAGACAAAGGCAAGTGCAGGCTTCGCGGAGTAATGTAGGGTACTGTAGATAGAATACTCTTTGACTGTTGTCTTCGCCGTCGAAAGTAATTGACACCAGTGCCATTGAGAAGCTTTGGGGTAGGTTCACACGAGTAGTTTATAGTAAGTGGAAGCAATACAATAGCGTTACAGCGTTAAAAAAGCCCATTTATGTTATCTTTGGACCATGTTGCCCCCCTAAAGTTGATAAATTTGATTCGTCTAATCAAGAATGTATTTTGTAACGCTATTAGTTGTGATAGTGAGGTTTCTAAATGATAAATTTGTATTTGACCGCTGAATGAAACGAATAAGCCAACAATTGTGAAGTGGTCCTATCATTTTTGGACACCCCATTTTCACACATTTCAATATATCACCGGAAGTTCGTGATGGATTTAATCCAAACTTGGTGGGATAATCTAGGGTGATAATCTCCAGAAACATGCCAAATACCAATTCATTCAAGATAACACAAGCAGAGAAACAGAAAAAATTCGCTTTGTCCTATAATTGTTGGACGCACCCTATGTTCTTTTTTAAACAAGATCACAAAAAGTTAAAAATATACACGAATAAAATGTTATTCGAGTAGGAAATTTATATTTTTTTCATGAAAATGGCTACGAAATGAACAAAATATTAAGCTTATTTCTTTGGTCATTTGTGGCAAAAGGTGGATTTTCTCCGTTATTTTTCTTCACACATTTTGGGAATTTCCCCATATTTGTACATTGCCTTAATGTTAAAAAGTGAATTTTTCGTGTAACTCATGGATCTCGTGTTATTCTCACTTGAATACATTTCGCTTATTTTTTTCGAATAAAAAAATCTTACTTTTGCAAGTAATCTCGTTTCCTTTCAAAAGTAAGGTTTTTTCGAATTTCGAAAAACTTGCTCCATTCACGTTGTACAGAGAACATTTACGAATCTTTTGTGGGTAACAACATTTCGAAATTTTTTCCCATCATGACGAAATCTAATGAATTTTTGCGACTTTCTGCCCCTCCCCAATGGCGAAGGGGCAGAGTTGAACCAAATTATTTGTACCTTTGGATTCACAAAAAATTACCTCTATAAGTTGTGCAATTCTTAACAAAATCAATTTTTTTGTGTCTCTCGAACTTCTAGGGTTTGATTATTGTTAGTCAATACTTATTTATTCAATTCACTTTAATGTATATGTAAAACAGTACGTAGTACTATAATCGTGATACCAATTTACACAAGATGTCGAACGGAATAAAAACATAAAGATACCAACACATTGAAGAAATGTTAAGGAACATGTATACATAACTTAAATAATCACAACCCTCACACACTATTTCTTGATCTTGTCTATCATCTCCTAAAATATTTGACAATCCCAACCTCTCCAACTCCCTTGTCTCATCCGGCTCAAAGATAACATCGAAATTTTTTACTTTCTCTAACTCCAAGTAAATACATCGCTCTCGAACCTCTCGTTCCAGTACGAGAATGAATATCGGATGCACTACTAAATTACCATTTTGTCTCATAATCACCGACTGACTCTCAAATTTCTCAATTAACTTTAACATTCTTCCGTCCATCTTAAATCCTATCATGGTCTGAACTTTCAGCAATATTTTCATCGAAATCCCACACCTACCAGAGCGAGAGAGGAGTAAAATCAAATTCGCAACTTTTCGAGTATACTTAATTTCTGGTATTATTTGGGACAGGACTTTGGAAAATTTAGAAATTACGGAACTCTCACAGGCCGCTGGGAAATTTGGGAATAATTTTGATTCCAAAATTTCCAAGGGATTGTCCTTGTAAAGGGTAATACTTTGTGTAATTCGATCATTAAAATTAACCCAATTTGGATATCGCGTATTGGCAAAAGATACAAAATGATGCAAAGCTAAAGGGTGGCCATGTAATAGGTGGCACACTTCTTTGGAAATATTGTCAGGCAGAATTTCTTCAAAATCTGGGAAATATAGCCCAGATAAATTTACGTGGCTCAAATTCCTTGCATTTATACTAAGTAAATTACCACGTCGACTATTAATTACGATCAAGGTTTTGCTAAAATTGTAAAAATCGTATAAGAACTGTTCCAAATCATGCGTGCGGAGGGACACATTGTCTAAAATGCAAACCCAATATTTTTGTGAAATAATTTCACCCACAATTCGTTCCGATTCAGCTTTCACCCCGGTATCGGTGGAGGTCATATTTTCGCCAGAGTTGTGACGAATTAAATTATAGTATAATTGATATTAAGAAAATACCCCATTTTCGCAATCAATCCAAGAATATGCTACACAATTAGGGCGACATTTTGACGTCATGAATTTACAAATTAATTCGGACTTGCCAATTGCGGGTGGTCCGGTAATGTAGACGTATTGCGATTGAAGCTTACAATTTGTGAAAGATTCCTCCAGTTGGACCAATTCTGGGCGTCTTCCGTAAAATGGTAGTCCCGGTGTTGAATTTGGTCGTTTAAATGGTTCATCTTCAACTATGGAAATTTTCTTAGCCTTATTATTTCCAAATGTGTGAATGATTACGGTCTTAAGGGTAAATTTGGCTTCTAGTTGTCCTAAAGTGGTAATAAAGTGGTTAATAATATTGATTTTTCTATAGGCAACAATTTTACAATTATGCAAAATTCACGATTTTTCATTTAAATTTTCGATAGAGAAGGAATAAAATATTGAATCAATCCTGGAATGCATGAATGGTGGAAATCAAAAGTACTAACAATGTGAAGGCATAAAATGCTTTTCTCCGATTTTGACCGAACTAATTTTAAATTAGTCACAATAGGAAATAAGCTGAATCGTATTTTTGCGTTTTCTTAAATGCGCATTTTTTCGCATCTGGTGGCATTTTTAAACAAATTTTCAGCCAAAATCTGTATTATTCAAAATGCTATAACTTTCTAATCTTAACCCAATTTCAAAAATAAAAAAAACATATTGGCCAAAATTACATTTCTTAATTTTTAACATTTCAAAAACTTTTGATTTTAAAACAATTAAGGGTTTTTTATTATTATTTTTTAATTCAGAAATAGAACTGAAATTTCAAATTTTAATAGCTTTTTAAAATGTATTTTCAGAATTTCAGGTAATTCTGTGCAGACGTGTTTTTTATTTTTTAAATAAAAATCAATCATCAGTCAATTAATCAAGATTTTGGCTGAAAATTTGTTCAACAATGTCACCATAGTCGAAAAAGCGATTTCAAGAAACGCAAAAATAGGGTTTGGCTTATTTCACTGTAGGAACAATTTAAAATTAGTAAGGTCAAAATCTGAGAAAACGCCTTCCCGTCTGGCTATGCATTGTGAGTGTCTAATTTCTTCAACATTTTTGAACGAATGAAAATTGAATAAATATTCAATTCACAATCTAACAATAAGAAGAATGAATCGATAATTTTATTCACAATTCATTTTTCATCCTATCCGTCATACATGGGGTATATTGAGAAATCCTTCTAATACGGAGACTTTGGGATAAAATTATTAAATAATGAATACTTAATTTTGTTTTGAATTTTTAATTAAGTTAATCTTGAATTAATTATTTCCATGACACACTACACACGCACACAGATATAATTGCAGCCCTAGACTCCCTCTAACGTTAAATAATTTAATAATACCTCCTTAAGGTTTGCCCACCTGCTAAATATTTCCCATGCAATTGTAGAAACGCATTCTTCAAATCATCCACGGTGCACTTGAAGTTTTTGTGAACCCAAAACGAGATTATGTTGAAGATAAGGTAACGTCGGGTGAACAGGGAATGGGTTGTGAGCAAATCAAGCCATGATTGATACATATAATTTGGTATTTTAAGGCAGTCTGCGAGTCGATCGCTGCGCGAGAATAGAAATGGATCATCCAGATCAATCAAAAAATTGACCACGTCAGGTACCTCGACAACATGTTACATGACTTAAAATTACGACACGTTGAAGTTTGGTCAATTTGTGTAAATACTTATCTAGAATAAGTAATACTTATTAGCCACAAACTTGGTGCTAACTAGAAACAGAGATGGAAGAAAGCGAAAGGGTAAACAAATTTGAAACTATGCCAGTACGGAAAAAATTAATTGACATTTTCTCATTTTACCTCTATGACCTGTCATTAACAGGGACAAGAGGGAACAGAGGTCAGATATCGAAAAAGTTTGTAGGGAAAAAAATTTCTATTAATTTTTTTCAAAACTTTAGCCAAGTTTCAATTTTTTACGCGGCCTCCTACAGTCCGCTTTGCTTTCTTCCATCACTGTTTCTAGTTGGTACAAAGTTAGTGGCTAATAGTATATTGTAAAAAATGTATACAAAAAAAATTATTTCTAATTTTAGCTCATTTGGTACTGGAATTTGTATTACTTACATACTAATTATGATCAACCACTCTTCTCACACATTTGCATCCTTCGGAGGATGTAAAGCATCCACAGATCGGACACTGTAGAATAGGGGGAGCAGAATAGTTAACATCCTTCATTATTCGGATTTCAGAAAGGAAACGCTATATTATGTACACTGTCAATAAGTTCGAGATAAGTCGTCACCCGTGGGTGCTCTTTTGTTGTGTGATGATCCGGATTTCGTTTTTTAAACTATTATTCTTCTAGGACAGAAGGGAAAAAAGGGAAAAATTTGAAAGATGGTTTTTACCGTGAACAATTGGAAAACACAGCGGCTATTGTAATTTTTGGGCGGAAAGCGAACTTCTTTAATAATTATTATTTTCGGAATTGGACTTCCTATTCGTCATCTCCTCCAATTTATGAACATTTTGATATGCAATACGCACACTTTTGGACAGTTATCAGGATTTTTCCTATTTCACAATATGAATATGTAAATTTTAATTTTGAAGATTACTCTAATTGAAGTGTATTACCAAATTATTTTCACAAAAATTAATGGACAATACAAATATGAAATTCAATTTTGACAATATGAATTGTTTCGGACCGCCCCACAAAGTTTTTCCCATTTTTCCCAATTTTTCGGTCGCACACTGATTAATGAATTGCTGCTTGTGAATGAATGACGAAGCGATCGTGATCTTCCCTCAATTTATCTGGCATGATCTGGATTGTGGTACTAAATATGTATTACGTGTCGCCAGTTTGGTGAAGTAATCATCGTCAAAAACATGAACAATGTGCATCCGCTTGTGCGTCATATGTACTTACCGGTGATTGTTGTTATCTTGTCAGTCCCGATAACAAATGGGATTTGTCTATGTTCACGAGGTGTTATCTAAATTAAATGATGAGATTTGGGAACATCCATATATTACGTTATCAAAACCTATCAGTACAGCTTTGCTTAGCCCGAACCAGGATTGATTAGTAAACCCATATTTGTCAGTAGTTTCCGCCAAAATTATGTACTTTTAGCGTCAATTCTTAGTCTTAAATACTTGACACCAAATTATAAAAATCAACGCTTATAAATCGGTAAAGGTCGCCCCCACTGGACCCTCCAGATGAAATTTTTTCCATATTGTAATCACATTCTTCCATAATGAGTTATTAACCAATTTTCAGCTTGATTGAATGATTCCGAAAAATGGGTACAGGAAAAATGGGTACCCTGTAGGGTACCTTTGGTTGAAAAATTTTTCAAGCTCACTTCGTATTCTTTCATTAGAAGCCATTAGCACCCTCCGTACCAAATTTCAGCTTGTTTAGATGACTTGGAAAAATCGGTATGGGTCACCCAATAGGGTCCGTCCAGATAAAAATTTTACCCATTTCAATTCATCCCCTTCCATTAGGACCGCATAACAAGCTTTGTACCAAATTTCAGCTTTCTACCGCAATTTTGAAATTTTGGTGCATAATACCCCACCCACCTAGATGACCCCCACCGGTCAACCACTTGACCGATTTAGCCCATCTTCGAACTCGGTTCCTAACTTTGTCCAATATGCATATGGTAAAAGTTTCAAGTCAATCGGTCAACCCGTTCGGGAGTTATCGAAAGACAGACAGACAGACAGACGGACGGACATGACAATTACATAAGCCCTGGTTCGGGCTAAAAAGGTGAGTCATTTTTTGGTTTCCTATCGTATCCGTGTTAAGCCTAACATGACTACGTAGGATAGGGAATGGGTGGGAATTTGATTTGATTTGATTTGATAACCTTTATTCGTGTGTCAATAAATATCAGTTAGCACAAACTGGTTTACAACTCATGACACAATAAGCTAATTGTCTATAGGCATTTAACTAACTAACTAAACTCATTACTTAATAATAGATATTTTCGTCATTACGTCGAGTAATTAACCATTAGCGACACATTTGTGTGAATTTTGGATAACTCAAATTCCCTTCCCAATCACGTGGCAAAGAGTTCCAAAGTTTAATTGAACGGTAATTAATACTTTTCTGCGCGAATGTCGTTCTCGTTGTGGGAAGGGTTAACAAAGGGAACGTACGTCTATTTGATGATACAGATTTCAGATGCAATAGGTTCTTAAATGCATACTTAAGTAAAAAAAGATCTATCTCTCCTCTCAGTTAATGTTAACGAATTACATTTTGTGCGGAGGTCAGTTATACATATCTTGTGTCTGAAATCTTTATAACATCGAGATTTTCGTAATCTTGATTTCTTCGCAATGATAGGTTAAAAATAGTTTAGGTAACGGTCCTCTTTACTTTGTATAGTGTCAAGTATTGGCGTGGTTTGCGTGGCCAATATGTCAATACTATAATCAGCTATCGAGTGTACATGACTATTTAACATAATTGACATGGCTTTTTCATTTAAATAACGTTTTAAACAATACAGATAGCCCAGATTACCCGAAATACGCTTATTTACCGATTTGAAGTGTTGTTTAAAATCTAATGATGAGTCAAGATCAACCCCCAAATACTGCCAGAAATCGAACCCACGGTTTGTTTTCAAATTAGTCCGACGCTATGTGATATTGATTTATTACCATATCGTGGCAAACCAGAGTGGCTCACAAGCAATTGATTTTGTTACGAGTTTGTCTAATTTATGGGATAACTCCGCGCATTGGCAGATAGTTTCATTAGCAAATTTCATGCTAATTAAATTTGTGATCGATTGACACCAGTTGCCCCCAAATCTGTGAGCGTACCTTGGGAGAGATTCACTCTTTGAACTCTTGATCAAGAACCGTAATAATCATTTTTATTATTACTAAAGTTTATATTAGTTTGTAGTTCCTAGTTATGGATAGAGTTGTAGCTATTTTATGCCATGGTTTTTAAACCAGTTTTCTTGTTAAACTGATATCCATTTACACTCGAATAAAGGTTGAAATGAAATGAATCACTCTGGGTGCACAGAACAATGCATATTTTAAGAACGAAAAATGTCATCTTATCCGAAAAAGGAAGAGCGACTTTTAACGCGGGGTTTCCACTTTGTCTAAAAGTATTGGACACGATCGATCAAATTTAAAGGAGCGGATCAGTGTTTTCTTCATTTCTTGCACTGCGAAGCAAAAAACGCCAATTTTTGGACAATACACTAATCATAAGTTAAACAATAAGTGGATAAGTAAGAAACTATGCTGGGATAATAACCCTTGGAAAATATTTGTCACTAAATTTTTACCATCGCGGTAATCATTTCTACTAGAAAGCAACCGATTGGAGTAAAATCTCACAATTCGCAACTGTGAGACACAATTCGCACAATTCGAAATTGACAACGACACAATTCGCAATGTATGTAAATGACTCTGCAAAATTACGTATTTACATTTCACACTAATATTTTTTATGTAGCCAAGTTATCATGTACTGGCTGCATATTTGTCATTGCGAGTTGGGTTATTTTGGTCTGAAAATTCTTGCCAGTGTTAGAACCAAAATTCCATCAACCTTTTTAATCCTAGGAGAAAAGACCCTCGCCACGTCACTCACATACTTATCTCAAGAACGTCCATAACTTACGTCCCAGGCGAGTGGAGGGAATGGGGTTTCGAGACAGGCCAACAAGTAGCGCCACATGTTAAAAAGGGGCGTAACGCAAAACAAGAGAGCGTGGGGGTGGGAATGGTAAAAAATCTCATAATTTATGGTATTGGCTTATCATATATTACGTCATCAAAATTTTCGATTTTATCACCCACCCACCCACACCCACCCTGCATAAATACTAGGGAATTTTGACATGGGAAAGACAAATAGGAAAAAAACCACCCACTCACTAAAATCACGACGTAATATATTTTCGTCCCCGACGCGTCATAAATAAGTTACACATACATAACTATATGTATACATACATACCCATGTTTGCCTACTACGAGAGGGATGTAACCCCATGTCATGATTTCACCTCTAATTTGCCCATGACTTTATGTATTTGGATGAAATACTGAATTTTATTTAGTCCACTTTTCTCCACCAGCCAGTAACCTTGTGTCCAGTTATTCGTATAAAATAAGCCAGCAAGACTTTCACATATTTAATAGTCTAACAGAAAGTGATCCCCTTAATAAATACATAATTATCTAAATAAGCTAAACCGATATTTTAAAAATTTACATATTTAAACTGCCACTTCCAAAGGCTTATAACTCTTGCTATTTCTGCCACAAAACCTGGCCAAGAAAAACCCCGTCCATAATTCGAGTAACCATATGCGACTCAACACTATACAAAATCCGTTCAAGTGCCCATTTTCTTGTAAGAAATCGTTTAAAACGTACACAAAACTCGTAGCCCACCGATCTCGGCATGAAAAAAACGGTCAAAAACCCTGGAAATGTGACCAGTGTGACATTTCTTTTAAAAGCAAGAGCATCTTAAGGAGTCACGTGATAGACGTACACACAACGGGAGACCCTTCAAGTGCACCCAGCACTTCAGCATAATATAAAAAAGGTTATCGGTTTTGCACTGTAGGGTATAAAATTATCTTGTGTTTGAATTTCCGGCTATCAAAGCACAGACACCTTATTCAGCAGCCTGAGGGTATTTACTTGCAAATTAAGTACCACCGTTCGAAATTATAAGAATTTCCACAAACTATAAATTACGGACTGAAAATGTTTATTCGCTTCCAAAATCAGGGTATTCCGACCTAGGTTTTAATGGGTTGGGTTTTATTTGGGTTTTAATGGGGTTTATTGGTTTTTATTGGGTTTTAATTGAGTTTTACCTTAAAACTACATTCTAAAAGTTAAATATATCTCCTATACATTAGAAGACGTTATCCCAATTCACCTATAAGCAATTATAAAGTTGCGTCAGCTACTTTATGTGATCGTTTTGTCCGTCCGTCCGTCCGTCCGTCTGTCTGTGCGTCTGTAAGCAGGATATCTCGAGAACGCCTCAACGAAATCAAACGCAGTTTTCGCCATTGTGCTTCTAATTTTTAGTTCTCGGTCGAGTTCGATAATCGGGTCAATCGAACCACCCCCCACAGTACCTGGGGGTGTGGTCGAAAATCAAATTTAACCTTAATTTTCATATGGGGTGTCATTTTAAAGGAAATTTCGCCACGAATTCAACGACGCCAATATTTTTGACCTTTGACGTCGTCGTCGGGGTCATTAGGTCAAAAAACACTTAATTTTCTTATGGGGAGTCATTTTAAAGGAAATTTTGCCATGAGTTCAACGACGCCAATATTTTTGACCTTTGACGTCGTCGTCGGGGTCATTGGGTCAAAAAACACTTAAGTTTCATATGGGGAGTCATTTTAAAGGAAACCTAGGAAAGGAAGGAAACTTAGGAAAGAAAAGGAAAATTAGGAAAGGAAACTGACCACGCTGACGCTACTTTTTTATATCGTTTGGAGGGTTTATTTCATCACTATTATAATATATGAAAATCCCGAAGAAATCAACAATTTCCTTTAGCATCACAGATTTCAAATTTTATTAAAAAAATAATTTCGGAATCGATACAAATTCCAATATGGACAAAGGGGTTTTATATGATTGGGATTGAATTTACAATAATTACGAATTATTTTTGTCACGTTATTACTAAAAACCTAATAAAACCCAATAAAACCCAATAAAACCCA